GGAACACCCAAACCTGCCCCCCCAGGGGGTGCTGGTGCTCCCCATGAGCCCAGCTGCTGCGTGTCCCTTGGGCCAGAGGAGCCTTCCTTCGGCCTTTCCAGCGCCGTGTGGACGCGGCCTTCGGGAGCAGCTCTGGGGGGATGTACAGACCCGCCCAACCTCGCTTTTGGGAGGGAGCTGAGGGCCTGGCTCCTTCTTGGACTCCGACCTCGTGCCCCTGGATTAGGGGAGCCTTTGCAAACAGCCCTTGTTGCCAAGCGATTTGGGTTATCCAAACCCCTTAGACCTCTCCTTGACGGAAGAGGCACTCACCGCCTGGATCCTTGGAGTCCCATCCGGCATCTTCAGCTGAAATTCTCAATTCTCTCTTCCTGGCAGCTCCTTGGAGCTTCTCCTGCCCACGGTCCCTTTCTTGGGAATTTTAAGCAAGGTCCAATGCTTACATCGCTCTAATGTTTCCCTCTGGCTTTCGTTGCGCACAGGATTTCTACGAGCGTCAGAGAACTGGAAAACTTCAGGAACATCTTGCGGAATAGGGGGTGAGTCCAGTGGAGAAAGAGAGGTGTAAACGTGGACTGCTGGGCTGTTGCGGGTTCTCTGAGAAGGGGCAAACCCTGTCCTTCCATCGCGCTTCCAACCGCTCCGTGGGGAAGATGGCTTGCTGGATGCTCCCTGCTGCTTGTCTGTAACCTGCTGATGAGGAATATTTTGTGCAAGAACAAAACCCAGCTACTTTTATATAAAAAAAAAAAAACCAAAGTGGGGACTCTGTAAGGTCTGGTTTGTAGATGGGCACCTCCTGCCCGACTCCTTTTACCCTGCTGTACCCCTTTGAGGGATTACACCACCCTTTCCAACTGGCCCCTCGTGCACAGCGTCTCCGCGGGAGCTTCCTCCTGCCTAGAAGTGACGGCAAGGGGCTGTAGGAGCCTCGGAGCTGCTGCTGGGTGACGGTGCCTTCCTCTTCCTGCGGAAACCTTCTCCCAGCCAGGGATGCTTCCTGGTGGTCTCTGCTGCACTAACTCCATGTCACTTCCTGATGGAAGGCAGGGGGAGAGTGTTGCTTGCCCTGTGGCCTGCCTCCACCATGGCTGGGGGGAGCACCAACCCTGGCCCCCTGCTTTGTATGAGCCTTGCGGAGCTGCTCTGTTCCCGGCCGGGATGCCCCCCTTGCCTTCCTTCGGGGGAGTCAGCCCCCCCTCTGCTCCCCACCCTGCTGCTGGGGCTGGAGTTACAGCCTCTTGGCCTTCCAGCCCCTCCCCAGCCTGTTGAAGCAGGTTTGTCCCCTTTTGGGACCACGGGGAGCCGGGAAGGACAGAGAAGGGAGAGCATGAACCCACTGCGGGGCTGCTCAGTGGCTGGAGTTGAGTTTTGCTACTCC